CTGCCGCTGTGGAATCAGCACACTACACCTTCCAGACTGCGCCGCCCCACCACGCCGGCAGGCCAATCCATCACATCACCAGAGTTGAGAGGCGGCAAACGAAGATGTCTCTCCCAGCTCTCCCGACTAACAAGGAAACCCCGCCAAGTGTAAATTCCCGATTTTCATTCTACTTTGGGAAATTGTTGGTCTAACTGTGTCATCGAAGGACACATCAATTTTTTTTTTGCTCAAATTCATATTACGCGTTATTTTGGGCATATCAAGGGTCAATCATGAAATTATCGACCCGACCTTCATTTCAAAGAAATTGCCTCGGATTTCAAGTCATTCTTTTTACCGTGCGGGAATCACTAGGGCTTAAGAGCAGCGGTTGTAAAAAGCAGTCCCGCAAAAAATGTTATAAAACAAAAGTTGTGGAAAAATGTAAGCTCTTCAACTTTTGTTTTATAACATTTTTTGTAGGACTGCTTTTAACAACCGCTGCTCTTAAGCCCTAGTGATTCCCGTACATTTGCCCTCCAAACTTCCGCCATTGATGATGAGTACTACAAGGCCCTGCGTATATTTATGATAATGGTGTGACTGCTGTGGTTCATAACTTATTAGAACCGTATACTTTAGATATTTGTGCTCTTGCGTATATTTATGATAAAGGTCTGACTTCTGTGGTTCATAACTCATTAGAACCGTACAATTTAGATATTTGTGCTAAAAGACCAAAAACTTTGAAGGATTTGTATCATGCTTCACATGACCAGAAAAGTCTAGTTGGGTTAAGGGATATAGCAGCAGGTGTGAACCTTATCCTTTCCGAAGAGAATGCCCATAAAATGGAAGTGGACACAAGATTCCAATCTAAGGGTAATGCCTTCTACAATCGAAGGATAGGTAGAGCACCGGCCTCCAAACTCAAAGCTATTTGCAGCACTTCAACAGATGATGATAATATGTCTATTTCATTGCTTAAATCAATTACTGCTACATTCCGCAGCCGCTTCAAAACTGCAGCTATTCAATATGGTTGCACTCATGAGACAGATGCCATTGATCGGTATAAAGAGACAATGTTTCAGTCTCATGTAAAGTTCACCTTGACTAAATGCGGTACTTTTTACAACCCAAAATACCCCGAGTTCATCGCAACTCCAGATGTTTTGGTGGAGTGTGCATGCTGTGGAAAGGGGTGTTGTGAGGTGAAGTGCCCATACACCCGCAGAGACATGGACGAGGAGGCACTGCACCAAGAACTGGACTAAATCCTGTTAGGCAACTAGGCAACTACTTGATGATGCAAATGGCAAAGTAAAACACGAACTTAGGGAGACTCACCCTTTTTTTAACCAAGTGCAATGCCAATTGTTTATCACAGGTAGAGCCTATGGTGACTTCGGTCTTTGGAGTAAAAACACTGCACCCATCTTCATTCACCAGCAACACACAGTTTTGGGAACGTGAGTCACCCACAGCTGCATTGTACATTAGAAACATAGTACTCCCAGAACTTCTTGGGAAGTATTTTACCAGGCTGACCAGAAAAAGCTTAAATATAAGCACCAGCAAGGTATGAATGCACCTGCTACTGGTGTTCCAAAGCAGAAGAACAAGAACACAAAAACATCTGAACTTGCCTCACAGTTGCTGTTGCCACCTACTTCAAGTATTGCAAAGCACTCCAACACACAGACACTTAGTGCCTCCTCTCCACTTACACAGAAGATGCGAGGTAGTGCACATGGTGTTCTTGTTACACCTTCACCAGTCTCAACTCAACACAAACACACGAACTCCTATCTTGTTAAATTCACTGCGAAGCCCCTACAAAGCGCACACGGTTGATGTTACGCAACAGAATGCTGCAATTGCCTCAACTCTTCCTGTATCTGCCACCCAAAAATTGAAACATAACTCACAAAAAACTTACTCTGTTATTGCTTCAAGCCTACAACTAACTCCCTCAAAGAAATTAACAAACTATAATTATTCCCAGGGCCCCAACAGCATTACCTGTGCGAACACCACTTGCCACTTTAAATACACAAAATACTAACACTAAAATTTCCTCAAGCCCTTGTCAGCAGACTCCCCAAAAGAAACATGTCATAATTATTTCCTCCACTACAGCAACATTACCTCTGCAAAGGCCTCTTAACACTTTGAATACTCCACAAAAACCCTACACCAAGATTGCTCCAAGCCTCCATCAGAGAAACACTCCATAGTTACTCCCTCCTCCACAACACCATTACCTTTGCGCAGACCACTGAGCACTTTGAACTTGGGGAATATTTTGTCAAAGCAAATGGAGCAGTAGTTTATTCAAGAAAAATGTGGTTTAGTTTAGGATTTACGTGTGACAAACATGTATGTGAAAACTATATTTCCACATTGCATTTAGTTCGTCGTACAAACTTTGACCCACTTTTCTACTATGTCTGTGTTTATGCCTTGCACGGTCATGCCAAGTGTTCGATCAGATTTATTTATTTCATTTGTTCATTGTCCCAACCTGCCCGCCATCACCGCCGTCGCTTTCCCGCGTATCACCTCGGCTGTGGTTTTATCGTTCCCTGATTCGCGGTTACCTGGCGCTCACCTGGCTCACGTAGTGTGTTCTGCCCCATACCACCATGGCCAATCTCGCGCACCCGTTTGAAGTCTCGGATGATCTGTGCATGTTGGTCAAATATCAGAAGGATTTGACTGCAGACGGCAAACCACTGCTCGGCGTCGTCCACCAGGGTTGGCTTACACCGGAATATGCTGAAAACATTACTATTAATTAAACAGCTATTATTCATTGGCCTGTAGATTTTAATAATGCGGATGTGCCGGAAGCCAGGCAGACGAAGGCATAAAAATGGGTTAAATGGTACACCATATCAGTGACGGTATTGTCCTTGGGAAGTAAGTTGTGCATACATATTTCATAGAAATGCACCACCTATAACCAAACTTAGAGACTAATGAACAATTTGTGACTTTACAGAACGGCTAGATATGTTTGAACAGCGGAGAAATCTGCAGACTTATAAGACTCTGATTGTGGACCCAGCAACCAGAAGGACAGTCAAGGCGAAGCAGGGTTCCAACTTCGTGGTAAGTCCCACCACTCTCTTGCAGATGTTTCAAGAAACTTATCCAGTTGTTTGAATTCCGTTACATTCTGTTACTATTTTAGGAGAAGCCATGACATGACAGCATGAAGAGGAAGAAAGCGCCCGGGGCAGATGGCATCGCCAGGGAGCTGCTACAGTACGGAGGAAAGACCCTGCTAAATGAACTGACCAAACTCCTGGTCAGTATATGGAAGGAAGAGAAAATCCCGGAAGCCTGGGAGGAGGCTGTAATCACGGTATTGTATAAAGGCAAATGATTTGTCTATGATTGCGACAATTACAGGGGTCTGTCTCTCCTTAATACAAGTTACAAGGTGTCGTCCAGCCTGGTCCTACACTGCCTGGAACCGTACGCATAAGAAGCCACCGGGGAGTACCAGGCGGGCTTCAGGAGAAACCGGTACACCACGGACCATATCCATTAAGGTCCGTCGAAATGACACTTTTTTCGATATTGATATCGGCTCACCGTGGAAAATGTTCTACTAGTAGAGGTGATTAACGGTGCGAAATCGTTTTTCTGTGTGACCACTCCTTCATGCCCCAGTAGAGCCTTGAAAATCGAAAAAAACAGCAAAAACAGTGAAATGTAGGCAACCCGCTTTACACCGTTGGAAGGGCACCAGGTGGTGCTCACTGGTACTAGAGGTAAGTAAAAACATCATACTTCGACCCCAAACCGTCGTGGGGTGCTCGCGAGGTCGTTCAGTTACTGTGATTAGGCGTCAAATAATGCTCAAAATGTCCAATTTTACCTAAAGTGTGGCTTTTGGCTACGGTGCCAATAGTAAAAATAATTTTTGATTTTTCAAAATATTAATTTGGTTCCTGGTAGTGTACCCTAACATGAGTTCTGAAAAAAAAAAATTGAGCCTGATACCTACCGATTTAGAGGTCGCTCAAAGCTCCCAAAGTTTCATTTTATTTCTTTTATTTGCTTATTAAGGAAAAATATTGTAGCAGCGCTTAAAACTGGTTTAAGAACACGACCGGGGGGTCCCTAGACGTATTTTGACGCAAGGAATCGATTCCCATAGTCCGTTTGAGTCTACCATTCTATTTGTGGCATCTATTCCCGAAAAAACGAGAATTTTAGGGTTTTTTCTCTACATTGGAAAAGATCCAGGCGTCTCAGTGGACGCGTAAACGTCAGAGGACCGTTTGAAAGGCATGAAAATAAAGGTCTCTTCATGCTCTTTCGTTTGCAATAGTCGAAAATGTCTCTAGCGCACTCCTCCTTTAAGTAAAAAATAATGAAAGAGAAAAAGCGCCCCCAAAAAAAAGGCTAAAATGTAAAAAATGATGCGTTTTTGTAGGTAAAAAAACCTTTTTAAAGCTCCTACATGTGTTGATAGATTATTGAACCTAAAACAAAAACCAGTTCTAGGACATTTGAAAAAAAGAGAGACCTTTATTTTCATGCCTTTCAAACGGTCCTCTGACGTTTACGCGTCCACTGAGACGCCTGGATCTTTTCCAATGTAGAGAAAAAACCCTAAAATTCTCGTTTTTTCGGGAATAGATGCCACAAATAGAATGGTAGACTCAAACGGACTATGGGAATCGATTCCTTGCGTCAAAATACGTCTAGGGACCCCCCGGTCGTGTTCTTAAACCAGTTTTAAGCGCTGCTACAATATTTTTCCTTAATAAGCAAATAAAAGAAATAAAATGAAACTTTGGGAGCTTTGAGCGACCTCTAAATCGGT